GGTTAGGCTTATATGCATGCATACAAGTCCTTTGGTTAATCTCTCCCTCTTACTCCTCCCCTCCCCTACTTTCCCTCTGTGGTTTGATGGTCTGATCGATGCTTCTCTGTCTCTGAATATGTTTTTGTTCATCAGTTTATATTGTTCATTAGATTCCATAAGTGAGTGAGATCATGTGATATTTATCTTTCTCTGACTGGCTTATTTCACTTAGCATAATGCTCTCTAGTTCCATCCATGCTGTTGCAAATGGTAAGAATTCCTTCTTTTTTACCACAGCATAGTATTCCATTGTGTAGATGTACCACAGATTTTTTTCTTTTTTCCTACAGATATATTTTTTAAATTTTTGTTTATTAAGGTGTTACAAATGTGTCTATATCCCCACATTGTCCTCTCATCTCCCCAGTCCTGCTCTCACCCTCACCCCCTGTTGTCTGTGTCCGTTGCTTATGCTCATATGCATGCATACAAGTCCTTTAGTTGATCTCTACCCCTTACCCCCAACCTCCCCTACCTTTCCACTGAGGTTTGAGCATCTGATCGATGCTTCTCAGTCTCTAGATCTGTTTTTGTTCATCAGTTTATGTTATTCATTATAATCCACAAATGAGTGAGATCATGTAATATTTATCTTTCTCTGACTGACTTATTTCACTTAGCATAATGCTCTCCATTTCCATCTATGCTGTTGCAAATGGTAGGAGTCCCTTCCTTTTTACTGCAGCATAGTATTTCATTGCATAGATATACCAAAGTTTTTCAATCCACTCATCTGCTGATGGGCACTTAGGCTGATTCCAAATCTTAGCTATTGTAAATTGTGCTGCTATGAACAAAGGGGTGCATATATCCTTTCTGAGTGTTTCTAGTTTCTTGGGATATATTCCTAGAAGTGGGATCACTGGGTCAAATGGGAGTTCCAGTTTTAGTTTTTTGAGGAAACTCCATACTGTTCTCCACAGTGGCTGCACCAGTCTGCATTCCCACCAGCAGTGCACAAGGGTTCCTTTTTAATGATGTTGATTCTACCAATCCATAAACATGGTATGTTTTTCTATCTGTTTATGTCATCCTCTATCTCTGAGTAGAGGTCTTTTACCTCATTAGTTAAGTTTATTCCTAAGTATCTTAATTTTTATGTGCAATAGTAAATAGGATTGTTTTTGTAATTTCTCTTTCTGTAAGTTCACTATTGGTGTATAAAAATGACATGGATTTCTTGGTGTTAATCTTGTATCCTGCTACATTGCCAAATTCATTTATTAAGTCTAATAATTTTTTGATGGAGTCTTTAGGGTTTTCTATGTACAGTATCATGTCATCTGCAAATAATGAAAATTTTACTTCTTCTTTTCCAATTTGGATGCTTTTATTTCTTCTTCTTGTCTGATCACTATGGCTAGTACTTCTAGTACTATGTCGAACAGGATTGGTGAGAGTGGGCATCCCTGTCTTGGTCCTGTTCTTAAGGGAAATGGTTTTAGTTTTTGCCTATTGAGTATGATGTCGGCTGTAGGTTTGTCATATATTGCTTTTATTATGTTGAGGTATGATCCTTCTATTCCCACTTTGCTGAGCATTTTTATCAGAAAACAGTGCTGGACTTTGTCAAATGCTTTTTTCTGAATCAATTGATATGATTATGCTATTTTTGTCTCTCAATTTGTTTATGTGATGTATCACATTTATTGATTTGGGGATATCATACCAGTCTTGCATCCCTGTAATAAATCCCACTTGGTCATGGTGTATAATTTTTCTAATGTAATGCTAGATCTGGTTTGCTAGAATTTTGTTTAGGATTTTAGCATCTATGTTCATCAGGGATATTAGTCTGTAATTCTCTTTCTTTGTGGTGTATTTATCTGGCTTTGGGATTAGGGTAATGCTGGCTTCATAGAAAGAGCTTGGAAGTGTGCCTACCTCTTGAATTTTTTGGAATAGTCTGAGAAAGATTAGTTTTAGTTCTTTGAAAGTTTGGTAAAACTCCCCTGTAAAGGCATACCGACCAGAGCTTTTGTTTGCTGGAAGATTTTTTATCACTGCTTTAATTTCTTTGGTAGTTATTGACCTTTTCAGGTTTTTGGTTATTCTTGATTGAGTTTTGGGAACTTGTATTTTTCTAGGAATGTGTCCATTTCATCGAGGTTATCCAGTTTTTTGGAGTAGAGTTGTTTGTAGTATTTTTTTACAATCCTTTGTATATCAGTACAGTCAGTTGTTACTTCCCCTCTTTCATTTCTGATTTTGTTTATTTGGGTCCTCTCTCTTTGTTTCTTGGTGAGCCTGGCTAGAGGTTCATCAATCTTGTTTATCCTTTCTAAGAACCAGCTATTGGTTTCATTGATCTTTTTGTATTGTTTTTCTTTTGTTGTTTTTTTTTTGGTCTCTATGCAGTTTATTTCTGCTCTGATCTTTATTATTTCCTTCCTTCTCGATACTGTGGGCTTTTCTTGTTGCTCTCTTTCTAATTCTTTAAGTTGCAAGGTTAGATAATTTATTACCATTTTTCTTGTTTTTTGAGTTATGCCTGTAGAGCTATGAACTTCCCTCTCAGGATTATTTTCATTGTGTCCCATAGATTTTGGATTTTTTGTTTTCATTGTCATTTGTTTCCAGGATGCTTTTATTTTTTCTTTGATCTCTTTGGTAACCCAATCATTGTTTAATAGCATGCTATTTAACCTCCAAGTGTTTGATTTTTTTCATTGTTTTTATTGTTGTTGATTTCTACTTTTATGCCATTGTGATCTGAGAAGATGCTTGTTATGATTTCTATCCTCTTGAATTTGAAGAGACTTTGCCTGTGTCCTAATATGTGGTCTATCTTTGAAAATATCACATGTGCACTGGAGAAGAATGTATATTCTGTAGCTTTGGGGTGAAATATTCTGAAGATGTCAATTAAGTCCATCTGATCTAGTGAGTCATTTAGGATTGCTGTTTTCTTTGCTGATTTTTTCTTTAGAGAATTTATCCAGTGGTGTCAGTGGGGTATTAAAGTCCCCTACTATGACTGTATTGCTATCGATCTCTCCCTTGATATTTTCCAGAAGTTGTTTTATGTATTTGGGTGCTCCTGTATTGTGTGCATATATATTTACCAGAGTATATCTTCTTGTTGCATTGTGCCCTTTAGTATTATGAAGTGGCCTTTCTTATCTCTTGTTATGTCCTTCACTTTGAGGTCTACTTTGTCAGATATAAGTATTGCTACCCCAGTTTGTTGTTGTTTTTTTTTTCATTTCCATTCGCCTGAAAACCTTTTTCTATTCCTTCACCATCAGTCTGTGTGAGTCCTTTGTTCTGAGGTGTGTTTCCTGTAGACAGCAGATACTAGGTGTACCAGTTAATAATGTGGCTTTTTTTCAATAGATGGAGTTACTCATATTTTGAAATATATGCGATTTAATATGTATGCTATTTTGTTGTATTGACAGCAAACTTCAAAACTTCTTATGTCAAATTTGCTGAAGGTGTTAACATCATAGATATTTTTACGCTTTAAGTGTCGACTTTCTTGCCAAAAAAAAAAAAAAAGCATTTGTGGGAATTTTTTATTCATTACTTTATTTTGAAGAAAAGTGCTGCTGAAAGTTATCATATACTTTGGGAAGCTTATGGTGAACATGCTGCATCTCAAGATACTTGTGGACACTGGTGTAAATGCTTTAAAAGTGATGATTTTGATGTGAAAGACAAAGAACGTCCAGGTCAACCGAAAAAGTTTGAAGACCAACAATTACAAGCATTATTGGATGAAGATGCATGT